TGTCGGAACTTGGGCCGCGTTTTCAGCCCATGCTCGTTTTGGGGGTCCGTGTGGTGAAACCAATGAAACGGAGACTCGTCGCCGAACTAGACCCGCTTCTACATACCTACTCCGTTTCCACTCTTCTACCGGCCAGATTCTCCGTTTCGTGCAAATCTGAGGGCTCTGGGCTTGCTGATTTTCGTTATTTTGGCCGCACCAATAGTCAAGCGCCTTCAGTCTAAGGGCGTTCCTCCCTTATCAATGGACAACATTATCCGAGTGATCATTATGAATAAGACTTCAGATTCTCCGCAGAATGGTCAGACTTCCCAGGTGCTTTCTTCACGACGATCTTGGCGACGGTTGAGACGCAGGAGGACCATGCTGATTGGGGCTTATGCGTGACGCTACTTGTCCCTAAACTTCTTCCACCAGCGCTTGTTGGTGAAAACGGGGGCTTAGAAGTGTGAGGCAGCGTCCTTCCATGTGTTGATACTTGCCAGCTTGGAGCATGCCAACAGCGCAACTACGAACCTCTCAACTGTAAAGCTAAACCTTCATGCTTAGACGTTCAGTAAATGCGCCCTTCAATGGTTAAACAATTACCCATGCCAGTGACCCCATTGGTAAAGGTCAGCTTTTCAGATAATCTCCGCTTCAGAGAAAGACTCAGGGGCACAATTCGTTGAAAGGAACGCGATATTTAGGAGCACATTGGAAACACGCCAAGCTGCTTTAAATAAACGGTCGACGGAAGTCATCAAAACCTTCGTCGCATCCTATATAAGATTTTGTGGGGAGGGGAAGCGCGTGTGAGCTGAAATAATGAGAGAAAGAACATGATCTCTCAGAACGAGCTGAACTGTTAGCTGAGGTCTGGATTTTGAGTTCATTACTGGCTTCATTATTGGCTACGGTCGTTATTTGCAGGCTACGGTCGAATGGAAATCCGAACAATTACACATATTCAAGATCATATCTGGTACGTAAATAAAATAGTTCGTGAAAATTGTACATGCACCAACAGGAGACACTCTGTGGCAAAGGTTGTTAGTATCGAAAGATCATTTCCTCGCGGTTTTGATATGTTTGTGCTTTGAAATGTGACAAACCACTCCATTTTTGACTATGTAAGATAGGTACGCTTGGCAGCAAAAGCTGCCAGACCGGAAACGTACACTTCCGGTTTCGTGATCTGGCTAAAAATGCACATGTATTCTCCTAAAGGGTGCCTGACAAACATATGTTAAAATCGCAGTGAAAGTCGACAAAAAAAGTTTTCGGCTCTAATGGGTTAATACGGGCCGAGTTTTCAAACGGACCGTAACGTTAAACATAGGGGAGAGTGGTGCAGGAGGCCCCCCCTTAAGCTCAGTTGCTATTTTTAGACAACTGATAATATTTAAGAGCTAACGTGTGCATGCGCTGTGAGCATGCATCATTTTCCCATACATATTTGCATTCAAAATGAATCTAGGGGGTACACAAACCGTAAACTTTAACATTTTGGAAAAAGTTGCAAAAGGGCCTCTTACACTATGGGTATGGTAAGACGCCCCCCCCCCCCTCGGGCGTTTAACAAGGCAAGTCGACTTGTAAAAGACGTTTTGCGAACACAGCTGCAAGGCCTTTTATTTCGAAAAGCTAAGCAAATACGGTGTTATCGAAACCAATAACACTTCCAAAGCGCTCGAACAATGCGAAAACTAGCACAACCAAACGCTGATGACCAACGAAAATTGTACCTATAACCTCTAGAAAAAGAAACAGAAAAAAAGAAACAAAAACAAACTCCTTGAAAAAAGAATGCCACGCTTGCCGCAGGTGCAGGCGTTTTAGCATCGGGGGCGTTTTTTATCGGGGGGCGTTTTATAATCCTCGAAGGGAGGGCCTCTTAAAAAAATGCAGTGTTTTAACGTCACAATATTTATGGTTTATGAGACATTTGCAGCGCACCAGAACATGGTCTATTCTGAAGCTAACATGTGACAATTTCGATGAGATAAGATTGCATTTTATAGCCATTGTTTTTTCAGATATATAAGGGTGATAAAGATGCATATATCTAGCAAGTAAAGGGGCAAAAACAGAAACAGGCTTACCAAAAGTCGCTGCGACGCACCTGATACCTCAGGTTTCGTGAGTTGTTGTTTCAAGAGGGCTTCTGCTTTACAAGAACATTAAAAAATAAATAACATTATTGGTTTGGTAAAAAAAGCGATGGGGCCTCTTACCGACCCCGGGCGTCTTACACGGATCTCCCCTACCTAAGTGTTTTAAAAAAAGCAAGGCTGTAGAGTTTTTGCGTGTAGCTGTAGAGCTTTTGCGCTGATGTTGATATTTTATTATACATAAAAATTATATTTTTAAAAACACTTTGGATTATGGGGCCATGCGGATTCCGGCAAGGGGGGGGGGCAGGGCATGTGCAATTGCGGACGGTGCAAATCCCAAGGTTTGCAAACTGCAAACACTAATTTTTGCACATCCACATTTCATTGCGGGGCTCATGCGGGCTAATAAGGCCTCTCACAGGCGCTTGCTTGTCTCAGCCCGATGCTCGAGAGTCGAGGGCCCCAGCCCGAGCCTGATGGCCCCGCACTGGAACTTTAAGTCCTAAACAGGTACGTGCGGGTGTTATCTAGCAGGTTATCTCAGGGCCCCATGCCAGTATCTAAAGGCTCTCGCCGGCTCTTAACCCGTGCACCGACGGGGGGGGGGGGGCGGATATCCGCCCCCCCTGAGGTTTTTCGCGAATAGCGGGAAAACCGCGGCGCGTAGCGCCGCGAAATTCGGTACAACTATTCCCTCATCAATTTTACACATGGTGTGCAAGTTTGAACCTCCTACCTTTTAAGGTCAGGTCACCAGGTCACTTTGAATGACCCAACCTCAAGTCACTTTTTTGCAACTTTGTCACCGTGCCAGAGCTACAGTAGATGTCGGAGGCCTTTGAAAGTCGCAAGATGTTATTAGGTCATTAGTAGCTACAATTTGTATATCTCGGAATTTTGATATCGGTGACCTAAGGTCAGGTCAATTTCGCGACCTCCCCATTATAAGTCAATGGGGGAAAAATCAACTCCCTGTTTTTTATCATTTTTGCTCTTTAACTTTAACAATATGCCTACAATTTTTGTTAGCGTTAACTTTTACGCTGGCGTTACCTCAGCTGCCACGCTGAAGGGACAAGCACTTCAGCATTTTATTATGAATAATTTAGCCGGAAACGGGGTGGCCGGGCTTCCCCCCGCGCCCGGGGTTACCCCGGCTTCCCCTGGTACAGCCCTGTGTATTCTCCTAGCCCAATGTACCCCCCTGTCCCCTCAGATAGTCACGTCATGAAAAGTCAGGCGAGGGTTTAACATGTGATGCAGCGATTTTGAAAAGAAAGCGGAGAGCAGTATTTATCTGTTCTTTTTTTTAGATTTCACGTCTGTCGATCGCCCCCCCCCCCCCAGTCAAAAATCCGTGGCGACGCCCCTGCCTGCAACCTCAACGAATAACTTACCTAGTTATCAATCAAACCAAATACCATCGACCTCCTAACCTTTCGATAATGCCACCAGGCGCCAACAGCTAACAGCTCTGTTCGCAATTCATTGCTTTGTTAAGTGCATCTGTACCGGCCGAGCAACGAGTTGCCAGGTGGCGCGCAGCCGGCGCCAAGTTCAGCTGCACCTAGCGAGCGAAGAGCTAGCACGCGGCGCGCCGATTTGGCGCGCTATTGGTTTCCGCGCTTTCCAGCTATTTGGCGGGAGACAGAGTGGCGGGCGGCGGCGGCGGAGAGAGCACAGAGCAGCCACCGGCAGTCGGCTCCGGTTGTATATGAATATCATGGGGATCCACTGTAGAATACCTAGTGGCGTCATATTACCTAGTGATGTCATATTGTGACGATGTGCCGCTAAACACGACGCATTCGCCACCTATCAAGCAAGCCTAAAGCTTATAGTTTATAATACATATGCTAGGTGGCGCTACTGAGTCTCTTGAGTGGCTCCATCTTTTCTGTATTGTTTTGGATGATACGATTCTGGATGTTGCATGCTTGGATGTTTCGCTTTTGGATGAGCCGTCCTTGGATGATACGGTTCTCAGGTATTCTCGTGCTGCCATTTTGGATGATACGGTTTTGGATTCTGCATCCTTGGATGTTTCACTCTTGGATGCTCTGAATGCACCCTAAAGGGCCGATTTTGGATGTTATTTGGAGGTTTTGATCGCTGGATGCTGCGGTTTAGGATGTTGCGTATTTTGGATGCTGCGCTCTTGGATGCTTTAATAGTCCCCCCTTGTCCCAACCCCTGCTATACCTTTGGTCACGTGACTACCATGATAAACTTTGCGTTTTGCAATGTTATGACTTAAACAGAAGCAATAAATGTTACAAGCGTATTATTTATGATGTTTTAGGCAGCAATCGTGTAATAACATCCTTGAATTATATACATTCTGCTTAAAAGAGGTCACGTGATGCTATCAGATTGTGCTCGGACAGCATTTTCTTAAACTTCGATTTTGAGTACTTTTTACCTTCATTGAGTCCTAATAACGGACGTTTTTAGTTATAAAATGAAGCAATGAATCTATTGAGGGCAAAATTTAATCATTTTTGCACTTTCAAGCCGGGCTATCCTGGCATGAACTTCGGCCGGTTTGTGTGTGAAGCCTATGGTGAAGGGAAAACTTCACGCCCGGCTGACGTCACAGACCTCGGCTACCAAATCGTGTCCGGTGGGGGGCTATCACTAGCGTATGAACGCATTGTGAACGGCATGAACCAGCCTTTTTAGAGCGTAGAGTATTCGCTACGACAGGACCGGCGCGACCGAGCTCTGCTAGCAGGCTCCGTCATTGTCATGAACGATATGAAATTGAATGACTGCTCGACTGTGCAAGAAGTTGAAGTCGACCGAGAGCAGGCCTAAATACCATCAACTTGAGCCTTGCAGATACCACACACAAGTTGCTATTAGCCAGTAGCCGTTTAATCTGTTCACAACCAAAGGGGCAAATCATATATTCCAATGTATTCAGATAGCCTTGGGATTTGTTATAGAGCGCATGACCTCTGCTACAGCATGCATCCATTGATATCCACACCCAAGGCATCGGTCCCTGCATCTGCACAAGTACCTAAGCACTATAGAAAAATAGATAGATGCGTCGTGAACACAGTGCGGGCGGGGTGTGCCCACGGCCATTCTGTTTTTGAGACTGAGAAGTGAGACCAGTATGTTTTGCGATGCTCAGAGGTTCGGCTATGGCAGCCGTTGCTCTGTGGTCTAGGCTCTAGAAGAAAATACGCTAGGATTGAGTAAATGGATATTCATCGACGGTTTAGCCGCCGGTAGAAAAGCAGACCAGAGAAAGTCTTAAGACGGCTTGTTGCCATCTTCGCCACGTGCCCTCTATTCCAACTCACTGCCGCCCTGCTGTGCACGCTCTCAAATAAAGAAAAGGAAAATAAACAGAGAAATGGTCATAGGTCATATTCAGGAAAGGACAGCGAGAAGCAAGCGTGCTACCAGCAAGCAGCTAGCGGTTGTCTGCGAACATGACACAAAGACAAACAGCCATAATCAACAATCATGGGTAACACTTTCTGACACACATCAATCATCACACTCAAAACACGCATGAATCATGAAACTCGAGGTCAGGTTGGATCAACGTAAGCAGAATATCAAGTCAAGTTAGATTCAAGTGAAGTTCGTGTTCGCAAACAATTATAATTAATTAACAATCCAGATTCCAGTGCTACTCAGGTTTACTGACCAATAGTTTGTGGGCGCGATGATGACAGCGATGAGCGAACCTCGTCCAAGCCGGCTCAACTCGGCTTGGAGGGACCGCAGACAGGCCGGTACACACTCGGCCTCCTACAGCGCCTCACAGCACTGTCTCAATGCCAGCATCCTGCACAATAATTCAAACCGCCTTTAATGACCATGCACACCAAGCATGTTGCCATTATAACTACTGGAATCTAAGTACACTTTCCTGTCTTTCAATTCCTGCAATGTTATCACAGCATTGACGCATGCGGCGATATGCGCCACATCAAAAATGGCTTATAATCGCCAGTTTAGTAACAAATCTGCTCTGAAACATACTACACTGCAATCTCAGACATATCAGTGCTCACCTAAACAATTTAGATATTCATTTTAGACAGATAACACGCATAATTCAAACGCAAAGTTCAATTACCTTCCCTGCTAGAGGCATCACGGAAAAATGAGGCGTGGCAGGTTTTACGGCGCACACTTGAGCGCAAAAATCGTCTCAAAACAAATGGAGAACGCGGCTACTAAATATGCGCGGCGCTCGCCACAGTAGAGCTGCCGGTTTTCACGGCGGCTGCGCACAAAGGTCGCGACATTCTCCCCCCAGTTTTCGGAAACCGAAAACTTAACATTAAGCGACCTAACGACAGGCACAGCCGCGTAACGAAAAACGTTCTTCTAGACGGTGTTCACGCACGATGGACAGTGGACACTACACTGTTCGCCACGCACCACACATGCGCCCCTTCTGCACGGCGCCACACCGAACCATCACGTCAAAGTCCTCACAGTCCTCCGTCAGCGTCCCGGGACGCCGAGCACCGGAACGCAGCGCCGCCCACCAGAGCGCCGACCGCGGGCGGCAGGCGAAGCGGCCGCCTCAGCGGCCCCGCAAGCGCCCGCGACGCAGCCGCCGCAGCAGTCGTCCGCACCTTAGCCGATCCCGGACTCCGACGACCTCGCCGTTAGACGATCATGCGGCAGACGCGTCCCACGGGGACGCCGCCCCACAGCACCGGAAACCACCAGCACGTCCGGCAGTCCAGTCCGCCGACCACCAGCCGGCAGCTCACGCGACGACATCGCCGTCCTTCAGGATCATGGGCATCACAAGGAAGCGGAGACGGTCACGTGGAGCAGCGGGTCACGTGGGTCAGCGGAATCAACGATGGTGGGGAATCAAACAAACAAAAAATGCAAACAAAAAAGGGAATTCAGGTAACATATGAGCGTATACTTAACGCACAGCCAGGCTGATCAGGCAGTCTCACCTTGCACCGACTCACTGACTCTGTTCCCAAGCAGTCAGTTCTTCGTACATGGGTTACAAGCGTCACTGCTTGCTGCTGTCATCACACAACTCGTGTCAGACCAACGACAGCGCATCTTACATTGTCTGCCCCTCCAGTAAGCAGACCTTTGTGCATGGGCGTCTGTACTTGCCGGTCGCCGTTCTCACCAGCACCGAACGGACGACACCGTCTTCACTTGCATACACCTGTTCAACAACACCCAGAGGCCAGTGACCGCGGGGTGCGTCGTCTGCCGCCATCAGGACCACATCGTTGACGGCCAGGTTTCGTGTGTTCTTCTCCCACTTCCTTCGGGGAATGAGAGTAGGCAGGTATTCTTTCAACCACCTGCGCCACACGTCATTCGCTAGTGCTTGACTCTGCTTCCATCGTCTGCGTGACATTTTGTCATTCTCACCGAAAACTCCCGGCGGCAGGATGCACCCGTCGGGCACAGCTCCAAGCAGGAAATGATTCGGGGTGATAGACTCTGGATCACCCCCGTCTCCAGACACGTATGTCAGCGGCCTCGAGTTGACCTGAAACTCCAACTCAACTACTGTCGTGTGAAGTACATCGTCAGGCACAATCTGATTGCCGAGGACAGCTTGGAGAGCCCTTTTCACCGAAGCGACGAGTCGCTCCCATGACCCACCCATGTGACTAGCGGTCGGGGGGTTAAACTTCCATTGTATATTCTGCTGGCTGAGGGTGTCGCAAATCTGTTCCTGGTTCCAAGCCGCGATCGACTCGCGGAGTTCTCTCTCACCTCCCACGAGGTTCGTGCCGTTGTCTGACCAGATCGATGTTGGCCGGCCGCGACGCGCGATAAACCGTCGCAACGCCATCAGGAATGAGTCCGTGTCCATCGCGTTCGCGACCTCAAGATGAATGGCCCTGGTGGCCAGGCAAGTCACCAAGAGGATATACCGTTTCTCACTTTTCCTGAACTTTCGAACTACAATCGGTCCCAGAAAGTCCAGGCCAACAGACGAGAACGGACGGGAGGCATCAAAGCGCTCACTCGGGAGGTCCGCCATCTTCGGGTTCGTGGGGATGGCTCTTCTGTTGCGGCAGAACGCACACCGCCATATCAACTTCTTCACAGATGCTCTTGCCTTTGGCATCCAGAACTTCTTCCTCACCAGATTCAAGGTGTGGTTCAGTCCAGCGTGCATGCAGCGTTCATGTAGGTCCGTCACAATCAGTCTCGTCACTTCACTTCCTGGGCTCAGCGCGATGGGCTGTCGGCAGATCTCAGCGGGGGCATTCTTCAGACGACCTTCCACCCTTACGATGCCCTTGTCGTCCTTGAAGAGAGTCACTCCTGGTTGAGGAGCCATTTTCTCGCGCTCTTGGTCCTCCCGGATGATGACCTGCTCCGCCTGCAGAAGTTCTTCCACCGTCAGCGGACCGCGCCTCTTCTCCTTCGTTCTGACGTTCCAGATGAACCGGTGAGCCCAAGCGACGATGCGTCTGTACTTACTCCAGGATGAAAAGCGTGTGGGATCCACCAGAGGCCGACTTGCAGCTGCTTTGCCGACAAAGCTGACGGCCGGCCCTGCAGGTTTTCTCTTCAGCTCTGGCTGGTCTGCCGGAAGACTGGACGTCATCAGGTGCGGCCACTCACCTCGATCACGCATGAGAAACTCGGGTCCGTTCCACCACAGGGCAGAGCTTCTCAGCTGCGATGCCGGCAGTCCTCGTGAGCTGATGTCTGCCGGGTTTTGTACCCCTGGCACATGTCTCCACTGAGAGGGATCTGTGGAATCCCTTATCTCGGACACTCTGTTTGCCACGAACGTTTGAAACATTCTGCTCTCGTTTGCCACGAATTGCAGGACCACTTGGCTGTCCGTCCAGAACACCACGTCTTCGAACTTGTACGTGAGCTCCTTCTGGATCGTCTTGGCTAACCTCGTGGCAAGAACGGCTCCCTGAAGCTCGAGTCGCACAATCGAGAGTTGCTTGAGTGGGGCTACCCTGGACCGCGACATGACAAAGCTGACACAGCGTCGTCCGTCGGCACCAGTCATCCGAACGTAGGCCACCGCTGCGAACGCGTCCTCCGAGGCATCTGAAAACAGATGGAGCTCCATCTCCTTGATATTCCCTGTCACAGACATCTTCAGGCTTCGCGGTACCTTGATGTCCTTCACTGCAGACAGCTCAGCCAACCACTTCTGCCACAGAGTGAGCTCGACACCAGAGAATTCCTCATCCCAGTCCAGTTTTTGAGCCCACAGCTTCTGGATGATGATCTTCGCTTGGAGGAGGAATGGCGTGATGATTCCCAGGGGGTCAAAGATCATCGCTGCCATCCTCACCACTCCTCGCTTTGTTGCTGGGACGTCTGCTGTCCGCACTTGAATGCTCAGGGTGTCTTCGGTCGGGGACCACAGGCAGCCGAGCGCCTTCCGCGCTCCACCTTCACACGCTGTGAGCTTCTTTTGAGATGCATCTCGATCGCTTTCTGGCAGATGTTCCAAAAGTTCCGGGCAGTTTGATCTCCACTTGTTGAGTCTGAAGCCTCCTTGTCTCATCAGCGACTTGACCTGCTCCATCGTCGACAGCGCTGCATCGGCAGTTTCCTCCGAGCGGAGGAAATCATCCACGTAAAAGCTGGAGATGAGTGATGGTTTCCCTTCTTCCAGCTTCTCTGCTCCGTTAGAGTCCGTTAGTGTCCGACGCACGATGTAGTTTGCGATAGAAGGACTACATTTTGCGCCAAAAATCACAACTTGCATCTGGTAGAGACTGGGCGGCTCCGTCACTTCCACTCCTCGCCAGAGGAATGACAAAGCCGGCCTGTCTTCGTCCCTCACTTTGATCTGATGGAACATCTGGTATATGTCCCCCACCACTGCAAAGGGTTCTTGCCTGAAGCGGAGCAGCACTCCATGGAGGCTCTGCATGAAGTCAGGGCCTCTGAGCAGCACAGAGTTGAGTGACGTGCCGTCACATACTGCAGCCGCGTCAAACACGACACGTGGTTTATCCTTCTCTGGATGCATCACGGCGTGATGTGGGAGGATCCACAGTTTCTTCTTCTCCTGGCGCTCAGCTTCCTGGGGCGTCAGTTTCTTCGCATATCCTTGGGCGATGTAGCTCTCCAGAACTTCACTGTAGGCTGCAGCTTTCTCCGGACTCTTCATCAGGCTGCGTTCCAGAGACCGCAGGCGACTGCACGCCATTGTGTAGTTGTTCGGCAAGCTGACTTCCTCATCTTGCCAGAGGAGACCCACTTCGTACCTCTCTCCCAGATGTCGTGTCGTCTTCTCCAGGATTCTCAACGCCTTCTCGTCGTCCGGCGTCAGAACAGGCTCGTCGGTGTGCTTGGTGCCGAACGACTCGGTCGCCCACCAGTTCTGAAGCATGGTCGACAGGTCTTCTTCAGACTGTTCGGCGGGTGACCTGCCAACAAACATCACCTCCCGGTGATGCTCAGGCACGACACTGGCAAGCGAGCCGGTCAGTGACCATCCGAAGGCTGTGCGGATGGCCACGGGCTCACCAGGTTCTCCCACTCGTGCCTCGCGCTGAAGCACCGCCTCGAGCACGTTCGCACCCAGCAACAGCTGCACTTCGCCGCCAGAGAGATCTGGTATCTTCAATCCCTGCAGGTGCTTCAGCTTCCACAGCGCCTTCTTCTTCAGCACAGGGACCCTCACGTTCACCCTGTCCACTGAGAATGCCTCTGGCACATATATCTTCTGTGATCCCTCTTCTGTCTCTGCCAGCGGAGAGAGCTCCAGCTGGACTCGTCGGGACATCTTTTCTTGGCCTGCTGCTTCTACATTGTTCAGTCGGAGAGTTTGAATCTCTCCATCCACCTGCAACTCATCCAAGAGCGAGACATTGCAGAGCGAGGTCTGCGCACCCGGATCCAGCAGCGCCAGAGTATCCTTGAACCTCCCGCAGGACCCATGAACTCGCACCGGGACGACCTGCAAGAGAACTGAAGAGCTGTCTACAGTTGTCCCATGCCTGATTGACGCGATGGTGGCCTCATTTGTTGCGTTGACTGTTCCAGCTGCCAGTCTTGTTGACGGAGCCGGTCCTCTCACTCTTCTGCTGCCGTGCAGCAGCCGGTTGTGCCGGAGATGACAGCCGTCGACACCACACTCCCGTGCTGTCCTGCAGTTTCGGCTTTGATGACCGGGTCTGAGGCAACTGAAACAAAGGCGGTTCGCGGCGACAGCTTGAGCTCGCTCGTCCACAGTTTTCGATTTGAACTGATCACACGACCACAAGCCATGATCTCCGTTGCACATGCAGCAGCGCTTACCTCCTGTACCTGCTGTGGTCGTGAACATCACAGTCGTCCTCTTCGGGCAGCTGACTGGTGCTGCAGCAGTTGCCTCGAAGGTCAGAAGAATTCTCACTTGGTTGCGCAGCCATTCATCGAAATGAATCAGTGTGGCTCGCCCGATGTTGAGTGAGTGCTCAGCCCATGCCTTCCTGAGTTCCAACGGGAGTTTGCTCACGAGTCTTCTCAGGTTTTCAATGGATTGGATGTCACCTTCATATCCCATTTTCTTGAGAGTTGTTGTGGCCCCATGCACTGCGCCAAAGTACCGTTCCAGAGACTTGGAGTCATTCGGCTTGGGACCCGGACAGGAGAATACATTCCTTAGAGTTGTTTGAACGACATCAAGCTCCCTGCCATACCGGTCTTGTAGCGCTTGTAGTGCTTCCTCGTAGGAACTACCGTCACATATCATGCCGCCGATTGTACTTCTTGCTGCTCCTGTAACTGCGTTTTGTAGGTGAACCATCTTCTCCTCCACACTCATGTCTTGCTGGTGCACCATTGTCTTAAATAGTGCATACCATCTCGGCCACTCTTCAATTTGCCCTCCGAATGTCGGCAACCGAAGGCGTGGCAGACTCTGCCGGAACAGCAATGTGTCAAACTCCTTTGTTTTCTCCACTTGCTCCTTCTTATCAGCACCTTCCGCCTCTGGCTCCCTTTCGTTGCAGAAGTCCTCGCGTCTCTCCCACGCCAGATCAGTCTCCGCAGCCCGTGTTAGCTCACCTTTGAGCTTCGCAGCCTTTATGGCATCTTCCTTTTCTTGGAGTAGGCGCTCTCTGTGTAGACGCTGCTCCTGTTCCTCTTGATGGAGGCGATGCTGTAGCTGTTGGAGCTCCAGCTGATGGACCTTGTCTTCTACTTCTGCCATTCTGACAGCATGCTGAGTGAGTGCAGTTTTTGAAGCTGCAGTCACCTTCGAAGAGGCTACTGACGCTGGTTCACCAGCTCTTTCTTGCAGGTGGGCTTCTAGCCTTTCTACTGCAAGAGCGTGCTCTGCTGTGGCTTCTTCTCCATAAGCCTGACATTTCATCAGCTCGGTTTCATTGTCCAGTTCCCCTCTGAGCTTCAAGTTCACTTCCAGTACATCTTGGAGTGCAGTGTCCAACTCCTTCAACATTGACCGCAGTTCCCTCTTGCTGCCAACTGAGTCAATCAACACAAAGGCTCTTCTACGAGTTCTTGTCAGATTACCCTTCTTCAGGGCTCGTTCATTCTTCAACATCTGCAACTTCTCCATGGTCCACTGTTCTTGCAGTAATCAACAAATGCTTTACAACTTCAAGCACTCTTGGAAACTACTGACGAATGGACAAAACATTATCAACAAACTATTGACAACTGTTGCCATCTTCGCCACGTGCCCTCTATTCCAACTCACTGCCGCCCTGCTGTGCACGCTCTCAAATAAAGAAAAGGAAAATAAACAGAGAAATGGTCATAGGTCATATTCAGGAAAGGACAGCGAGAAGCAAGCGTGCTACCAGCAAGCAGCTAGCGGTTGTCTGCGAACATGACACAAAGACAAACAGCCATAATCAACAATCATGGGTAACACTTTCTGACACACATCAATCATCACACTCAAAACACGCATGAATCATGAAACTCGAGGTCAGGTTGGATCAACGTAAGCAGAATATCAAGTCAAGTTAGATTCAAGTGAAGTTCGTGTTCGCAAACAATTATAATTAATTAACAATCCAGATTCCAGTGCTACTCAGGTTTACTGACCAATAGTTTGTGGGCGCGATGATGACAGCGATGAGCGAACCTCGTCCAAGCCGGCTCAACTCGGCTTGGAGGGACCGCAGACAGGCCGGTACACACTCGGCCTCCTACAGCGCCTCACAGCACTGTCTCAATGCCAGCATCCTGCACAATAATTCAAACCGCCTTTAATGACCATGCACACCAAGCATGTTGCCATTATAACTACTGGAATCTAAGTACACTTTCCTGTCTTTCAATTCCTGCAATGTTATCACAGCATTGACGCATGCGGCGATATGCGCCACATCAAAAATGGCTTATAATCGCCAGTTTAGTAACAAATCTGCTCTGAAACATACTACACTGCAATCTCAGACATATCAGTGCTCACCTAAACAATTTAGATATTCATTTTAGACAGATAACACGCATAATTCAAACGCAAAGTTCAATTACCTTCCCTGCTAGAGGCATCACGGAAAAATGAGGCGTGGCAGGTTTTACGGCGCACACTTGAGCGCAAAAATCGTCTCAAAACAAATGGAGAACGCGGCTACTAAATATGCGCGGCGCTCGCCACAGTAGAGCTGCCGGTTTTCACGGCGGCTGCGCACAAAGGTCGCGACACGGCTGGCTCTGTATAGTGCATATAATTAAATAACCAATAAATAAGACAATGTCCGGAGCCACACTAGCTTTCCATTCTCAGCTGGTTCATGTGCCGAGTTTCTGAGCGCAGCCAGCGCCAGCTCCGGATAGGTTCGTCATCACCGTCACTCCTTGAGTCACCACTCCTGACATTCCCTGAGCAGCCCCGACATCAGTCCGTTGTCCCACCAGCGTTCCGTGCACATTGCGCACGTGTTTGGTCATCGTGCCCCTCTGTGTGAACTGTTTCCCGCACACGTGACACTGGTGCGGCCTGCGACCGGTGTGGGTCAGCTCGTGCTGCGACAGATAAGCGGCCGACGCGAACGTCCTCCCGCACATGTGACACACAAAAGGCCGCTCTCCGGTGTGTGAGCGGGCGTGCACGTGCAGCTTCTGGGCGGAAAGGTAGCGGCGGCCGCAAACCTCACACGCGTGCGGTCTCGCACCCGCGTGGCTGTCCTCGTGGATCCGCAGTTTGGAGGGCGACGGGAACCGTTTTCCGCAGTGTCGACAGGTGTGGATCAGCAGCAGCGGGTGGGCCTGCCGCTGGTGCCGCCGGCGCTGGGCGGCGCTGGTAAATCGCTGCGGGCAGGCGGAGCAGGCGAGTGAACCCTCGGCGTTCGCCGGTTCCACGTCAGCAGCTGAGCGACAGGCCATGACGGTACCCTCTGCAGTGGAACCGGCAGCATCGGGTCGAGCACTGCTGTGATCCGGTACGACGGTGTCCCTGGAGAGCGGCTGGCTGGACTCCGGGGTCGGAGCAGCTGTCCGGCCGCAGCGACACACGGTGCATGGTCCACACGGTGCTGTGGCGCGCTGGAGGCCGTGGGGTGTATCAGCGCCGTGCTGTACCCTCAGGTGTGTCAGCAGCGCAGAGGTCGAGCTGAACTGTTCGTCACAGAGCCTACAGGTCAAATCGACTGTGTATGGTCCTCTCTCTACCTGTAAGCAAGAATAAAACGTGACAGTTTGCATTATTCGTGAGAAATGGTAACTAAACGTCTATTACACAAAATTCACCAGTGAAATTATTATCTTCAGGCATCATCAGTGCTCACCTGAGGTCTCTCAGTCTGATGTAATTTGCTTCTTTGTAGTCCATCATTGCCTGAAAAATATATTTGAGTTAACTCACTTTTAAGTCAACAACTGAACCACATTCAGAAACATGCTTTATTGTGTGATGATGCAGTACACTTGGTGTAGTGAATTCAGAGCTAAGTCACATATTTTGTCATTTAAGTACCTACCTCCCTGTTCCATGAGGCAATAGAGCATGCTGATATGAACAAGTCTCAGTTGGTCATCCAACTCCTGCAGTTGAGTATGCAAATCACAGGCCTGTGCAGCCAATTTGGCACATTGCACACAGAGGAGAGTGCCCAAAGTTGCAGTGCCCATCAAGGCATACATGGCCTGTAGCTGTAAACTTGGGTGACAAGGAATGCCAGGAGCACCACAGACTTCACATTGATCATTGGATCTTGCCATTATACTTGCTGATGTTGCAACAGTCTCATCTTCCAACTGATGCCCCTCCCTGGGCGGGGTACTGTGAGACTGAGCTGCAGTTGTCATGATCTGTCAAGAAAGACCAGGGTAATCAAATGATCAGATAGGTAAGTGTTTTAGCTAATATTCTTGAAGCATTTGATGATTTGATAGCACCCACATAATCAAAGCTTAAACATACACAAAATTGCACTGCAGAACTACCCTTATGCTGTGAAAGTTATCAAGAGTGGTACTGGATACAAAGCTTCGAGTTTTATCCAAATCAAATTGAATTAGGAGCTGGTTTGGTATTAGTATATATTAGGTCCGAGTGGACAATTGTGACGCCGTTGATACAAATATGTAACAGCAAAAATTTTAGGTTAGGTTGTAGGTTTGTAGGTTTTAGGTTGTAGGTTTATAGGTTAGGTTAGGTTAGGTTAGGTTGTAGGTTTGTAGGTTGTAGGTTGTAGGTTGGTAGGTTGTAGGTAAATAGGTAAGGTTAGATCAGGTTTGATTATGTTTTTCTTTTATTTCCAGGACATATAAGTATCATTTTTGGATTCAGGATGTCAAATAATGTAAGAATATGAAAACTTTATCTTTTAACAGTCACTCGCACTTAATGTATACTTTTACCGCTGGTTTCTGATATAAATGGCCTTTTGACAGTTGACTTAGGTAAGCGCTACCAAGATTATGTACCACAAACAATTATACCTATATCTAGAAATCTAGAAATCTAATCTAGAAAACCACACCACCTTAGTTAGATTTGCCTTAGATCACCTTCGGATCAGGAACTGGGATCAAGAAATTGATCATTACAAATCAAAATTCATACCTACATCCCCCTCGACCGTGTCTCTCTTGCTCTTCTTTATTGTTTATTTAGGCATATTTACATGCAGCGTGTTTCCCCCTCTTTTCCTAATGGTTGCGTCTCTTCAGCAGAAACATGTTCGCTAGCATTACTGACAAATGTCTCAACTGCGCCGATCTATATTTTTTACGCACAGGGGAGCAATGCCGCTTGAACCCTATTGGCCGTAGTGTCTAACGGTGGCGGCCATATTGCGCAGACCAAGAAACGGCTGCCGCCTGTGTTGAGGAATAGGGAATTCGGGACCTCGATTTACGTTTGCGGCCGCCGCATCCGTTACGTTCAAGTTACGTAGATACGGAACCTGGCATCTTACGCAGAATTGAGTGGGGAACACGATCGTATCTTCAGAATTCCTCAAATTCACTCGCCGGACCTACATTTGCCCCGGCCGAGGGGGTTGATTGAACCCACCTCGCTAATGCGCCGCTAATTAAACTAGAATTAAGCGGTAAATTGGTCGTTTGCGACAAAGGATAATGCAAAGTGACTGGTAGGAACCCACTGTAAAGGTCCCGGGTCAACCGGTGACCTCTGAGGTCAGGTCAAGTGATCTAAGGCACGGGTTCGGTTTTTGGTAAATAACTTCGCCAAAAATGGCCGTAGAGCCGCGATTTTGGCATCATCGTGTTCAGCTAGCTCAGGCGCATCGAGTGATATACTTTTTGTTCGGGTCAGGTCAACTTAGGGTGTTGACCTCAGGTCAAGGTCAGGTCAGCACCGCCAGGTCACGAAGTTGGTCGAAAGAGGTCATGTCGCATATCATTCGATTCGGCAGGTCTTCCTGAGTCCATTGGTGGCTTTCCCGACTCGCTAGCTCAATTTGATCGGGAGTTATTGAAGAAAAACTGTGACCCTTGTGACGTCACAAATGACGTCACGCAAGGGCAACAATGCAAATATGAAGCATAGAACCTTACAAAGAGTGCATGAAATCATGATTTTATAGGCTTGAGATAGTTTCAGATCATTCTCGGCGCCAAAACAGCAATTTTCATATTTCCCCATTGACTTATAAGGGCTTAACGTATTAGTTCCTTGTATCTGAGAAGTTTTTTGGAGTTCATCTTATTCTCCACTCAATTCTGCGTAAGATGCCGGGTTCCGTGGCCACATAGCTTAAGCGTAACGGATGCAGCGACCGCAAACGTAAATCGAGGTCCCGAATTCCCTATTCCCCAACACAGGCGGCGGCCGCTTCCTGGTCTGCGCAACATGGCGGCACCGTTGGACACCATCTGGCGGCCGATGCGCATTCCACATTATAGAGTTCAGTGTTTTTACGTCTTGAAAACGCTGCTTACGTGTTCTTTGCATGTGCTGATCGGTAATCGCAGTAGAAAGAGTGGGAAAAGTCAGAGGCAAGGGCCCTGTTTCACCGGTGATAGCAGCAAGCTGCTTTTACACGTGTCAAATTGGGTTTCCATGGAAACATCAACAGGCCCATTGCTCCAACACTACCACAAGTGTGACGTCAGCTCGCGCAATTTGATAGTAGCTTGGTAGCAGCATCCCGTGAAACACCGCCAAGATACCTATAAGAAACAGGTAGATCCGATGTTTGAAAGTAAACAGAAAGTAAAGCCCCAGTCACAAATTTGACGCACCTGTGACATTTCCTGACACCCACGTGACTATTGTATTAACTTTTGTGTTATGCGATGTTTTGACCTTATTTAAAGTACTGAAAGCTCAAAATGTATGATTAATGTTGTTTAAAGCAGCATATTTATAATTATGTTTGTAAATTATCGATAAGCTGCTTATAGCAGGTCACGTGATTGCTACCAGATTATGTGCTCAGAAAGCATCTTTTCAACTTCGATTTTGAACAATTTTTACCTCCTTTGAGGCCAAATGATGGACGGTTTGAGGCACACGATGAAATGCTGAATCTATTGATGCCAAAATTTGTTCGTTTTTTGCATTTTTAGACTAGTATATCCTGGCTCAAACTTTGACCAGTTTGTGTGTAAACCCTATGGTGAAGGGAAAACTTCACGCCCAGCACACGCCCAGCAGACGTCTTTACAGTGCTGCCAAATCGTGTTTGGTGGGGGTCGGTCAGGGCGGTGTTTCACGGGACGCTGCTATCACGCTGCTATCAAATTGCGCGAGCTGACGTCACACTTGTGGTAGTGTTGGAGCAATGGGCCTGTTGATGTTTCCATGGAAACCCAATTTGACACGTGTAAAAGCAGCTTGCTGCTATCACCAGTGAAACAGGGCCCAGAGTTCACTCAATATACCCTGGGTCAGAGGGTTCCGATTTTCCGTTCCGTCAGTGCTCTTTATACCGTGCGTGTCCGATTGGTCCGGTCTTATTTTGTGAGTTCTGCTGTTGCCACAGTATAATAATGTACTTGTGTTGAGTATGTTGATTGAAGTGCTTTTGACAGTTGACACCAATTAGTAAAAGCTCCACTTTTAATTTGATAAGTCAAAGCAAGGCCCTAAATACAAGGTTGCACGGACTAATTTCTACTAAATCTACCAGAATATAGTTTCATGGTTGGGTATTTTAATAACTAGTCAATCAAAACTTCTTTATTATTTTCTCGTTATCATTTATAAGCAATTTTATAAATTGACTT